AACCTACAGTAAGCTGTTCCATCTGAAACCATCACCACGTGTATCCGAAAATTCTGTAGTAAGTTGACCAGTAACGTGAATAAATCGAAAGACCGAAACAACTATGCTACTGCCCGAAACAATTATTGCTCCTGTAATGACTTTCTAGCAGTTCAACAGGAACTGATGTTACTTTCTGCCGTGAAAGTTACTGATTAACACAACGGGAAGAATATAGTTGCTGTACATAACAGCGTTGTGAAATAACCGATAGTTTTTGAATTTGCTAATTTCACTTTCTGCGCTTAGTATGTCTGACTGCGGCGTTGGTAACTAGCTTTCAGTTTTTGTGAAAAAGGCATAAGGTATTTCCATCATAATTTACAGCTGTTAATGCAAGTTTCAGAAAAGCTTGTCCCTCAAATTTACAGTATCGGCTGGTTTTTTTGGCAGGCAGAACAAGCACCAACTCAATGTCTTTGAATCAATTTTTTTCCTATAAGGATCCTTTCTGCCTTAATCCAAACTGACTCCACTGGATTTTTATCAATAAAATTTGTTTTTTTATCAACAAGTTTTGGAAAAAGAGCACAAATGGCACAAATCTGCTTTTTGCCCAAAAACAGGCGTAATTGTCACTTCCTTTCATAGTGATACTGTAAAATTTCGCTGCTAACAAATTCGGCAGTTTGCATCACTTTCATCTTCGATGCAGTAATTTTCAGTTACACTTTTTAACTTCATATACTTAGCTCCTTTATCATTTCGTTTATCTTGCAGAGGGCACACTGTAGATGATTTAGGTGCTTGTCAGTGATCTCCAAACTGCATGTCTAAACCAATTTCCGGAACACCAATTTGAGCAGGCCGTGAACAAGTTGGTCGAGATAGAGTCCGTCCTGCCTCAGCTCTCTTTTAACCGCATACGGACCGGGCGGAAAACATTGCTATGTTTGTCGGTGAAATGTTTGCAAGCAAAAGCAAATGTTTTGAAGGGTCATGTTCAAAAAAAGCGGGCTTACGATTAATCTGCTCGAAGCTTCAGCATCTTTATTGACTAAGGAAGAAGGTAGGATCAGTTGAAAGAGCTTCGAACTCTGCTCTTTCTTGGCTTGTGTTCATACTTTCTAATACTGACCTGAAAGGAATATAATTTCAGTAAAAGAGAATTTGAAACCTTACCTTTCTATTGTGCTAAAATGTTGCATTATTTTTCTCTGGATATATTTCTCATCCTCTGACTTAGGGCAGCAACCTCTTCCAACAAATACCCAGAACTGCCAAGTATTTTTTCGCGCATTTCGATATTTATTTCCGTACTGAGTGTTCCTTGACTTCTTTTAATGATCTGTACACGTAACTTCTAACAATCTAAATTGCGTATGCCTGCATATAACTAGTACATACGTACATTTCTTTCTCCATCATCGTTTGCGTATGTCTGTTGCTTACGTATGCGAAATGGGAACGTTTTTTTTTGTCTGTACCTGCTCAAACCGATAGTGGACCATACTCAATAAATTCAGCACTCTGGTTACTTTGACTGCAAAGTACGTCAAATTTCACGTGTGCGTGCACCAAGGAGAAAGTAAATGTTGTCATCATGTGTGTCTGCCCGAGAACAGCCCCGAGCCATGCCCAAAAAGTTTTAGCAATTTATCTACTTGTGTTGCGAAGTGACAATATACATGTTCGTATGTGAGAGGGAAATGTGAATGTTGATCTCAAGTACACCTGCCTAAACGCGGTATTTAGATCAAGCTCAGATAATTCCAACGCTCTAGCCACTTTGGTGGCGGAGTTAAGTCAGGTTTTGCCTGTTCGCATGTGAGAAGCGCGTGAGATATAAAAGAAACATGAAATCTTCTGAATATGGCCTGGAACACGTTTGTGCATCTACCAAAACGTGCCCTCGCCCATATTCAGAGGATTTCACGTAACAGTACATGAGACGCAGAAAGAGACAAACATGTACGCAGCTATGCACAGATCAATTTAAGTCTTCCAAATCCACAATCACTTATGGCAATTATATTTAAAGTCACTTTCAAGCTCGCTAAATTTCATGTTCTGGCAGTAGAATTCGTATGACCAACTGTACGAAAGGTGACTCTCATAAATCGTTATCTGAAATCATCCATAATAGTGGCAGTAGTGTATTGACAACGCTTTGTCCGTCTTTAGATGCTTACTAGTTTTGTGCGCAATGGAACTCGATTATTTTTATTCCACAATTAAAAATTTATTTATACATGGGGTTGTCTTTTTGCAGTTCCGAGTGCAGAGAAGTTGAAATCGCAGAACAATGGCTGCTCCAAATTTCGTTCCAACAATGGACGATTTATTGGAATTCCTGAAGCCATATCCGGCGTACCATAAGGTGCTGGTGGATTATATCAAGCGGGTAAGCTTTTGATGCAGCGCAGATAATGATGAGCATTATCGGCCAATGCATGTTACTGACATTTCTGAACAATAACATTCTCGAGGTGAGACTCCTTGGCAAATACTAGTACCGATTTTCCACTGGAACGAACGAAAGAATCGCAGACAGACTGGCTGTTTCACTGGCGGAGTCGAACTTCGACACGCTGCAGATGATGTATTTCATTTCCACTTTGCCGGCAGGCATGGCACAGCGCTACCCCGCGGTGCCATGCCTACCGGCAAAGTGGAAACGAAATACATAATTGGCGATGAGCTTCAGTTGGGTCCCTGCGATCATGCGTTTTTACAGTATTTCGTGCTGTAGTAAGATCGCTCGGCAACCCAGTAGCTAGAATTTGCGAAATACTGGTCCTCGAAGTTCGAGAAGTTAATTGTGAAACTACATAGTACTTGGACAAGAAACATTCTGTAAAAATTTCACTTTCCAACTTTTTTGGTTCCCGAGTTAGCAATTTTTCCGCTAAAAAATTTCATGGGTCCGTAGGTGAGAACCACATACACCTGGGGCTGAATTTGAAATCTTTGAGTTTTATGTGGAAGGGAAACGCCCCGTCAGAATTTCAGCTTTCCGGCTTTTCTGGTTCTCCAACTAGCAATTTCCCGCCAAAACTTCCACGCGGCGTACACGGAGTCCAGACGTGCATGAGGATTGGCACTGTAGTCCTTACTTGGCCGGAAGAGTACTGGCAAAATTTAAGCGCTAAAACTTCTTTGGTTGCCAAGTTGAAATACCCGGACAGACGCACAAACACACGCACATACACATACACACAAACATACATACAGGCCGGGTTGTCACAATATGCGTGCTTGCATTTGCGTATAGGCAAAACGCATAAAAATTGAGTAAAATGCAATATGCATATAAAATTGAGTAAAATGCAATATTCTTATTTGTTCAGTGAAATATATCCGTAATTTGAATTCGGCGTTTCTGCCCATGCTATGTAGCCACCACCCCTCTCAGCCCCTCTCCACCACTTATCTACCGACGCCGTGCACATATGTACACGAAAACAAACAGGCGCACGCCTACATTTTTTGTGTATAAAACAAAAAGTTTTTTTGTGTATAGAAGTTTGTGAATAAAGTTTATGTTTGTGTAAAAGTTTGTGTATAAAAACTAGACAGTATTATTTTCAGCACGAGGGAAAAGGAGGAGAGGTTGAAGCAGCAGCAGCCCAAGGGGAGGAAGAGGAAGGCGATGTGGCGGTGCAAGATCTGACCGCCAGGTTCCTGTTGCTGCATCCTGCAGAACAGTACGAGCGCGAGCAGCCCAGGAACTACCTCTCCGCATGGGCTCTGCAGCGCAAAACCAAAGAGGCTGTGGCTGGCGCGGTGCAGGAGATGGTGGTGCAGGTGGCGGAGGCGGAAGAGCGGGCGCCTCTCCACGAACAATACAACGTGGAGTTGGAGGGAGAGGTGCCACAGCCCGAAGAAGAAGTGGCACAGCCGGCCGAGGAGGGGCCACAGCTGGAGGAAGAGATGCCGGCAGAAGGAGATCGACCGGATGCGGAACAAGACTTTCGCGAGTTGGTGCTGTAAGTTTTTTGGTTTTAGCTTTACGAACTAGATCGGGTGGGCAGTTAGCTGAGGAAGGGAAAAGCAGGTTGTTTAGCAACCTATGGACTCTTCGGGCGCTTATTGGCTCGTCAGATTTTCCGTCAGATAAGGGGCGTGTAGGGCATGATTACGGTCTCGCATGAAAGTCGAATCAGCCGGTCAGAGAATGTCGTGTCGCCCCGCGGGCACATATTGGTGAGTGGTGCTGCGAGGAAACAAATGATCCCTCGGATGCCTACAGCATGTAGCGCTCATACACAGAATATATATTGGCTGCTGGAGCTATGCAGTTCTGGATCATATGGCCTGGAATAGCTCAACGCGGCGTGTAGAGATACACAAACAGAAAACATCACTTAGGCTGAGTCCCCACACTAAATAACAGCTTCTTCCAGACGCTCAAGGACAGTCCGCATCCCGGTCGAAAGAATGCGGCATACGGAGGAAACCGGCCTGCCAGGGTTCGCCATTCCCGCACTGAGCGAAGCAGTGCCCCAGCAAATCGCGGCCGCTTTGGAGGAGCCGCAAATTCCACCATACGTGGTGGACGGAGGAAAAATCGGTATGTCTTTTCAAAGATTCGCCAATCAAAGATTACCTGAAACGCTTTTCGCAATCATTTTGTAGAGGGCATGCTCAAAATAAAAGCTGAAGCTAAAACACCGAAAGCCTTTTGAGGGTGTTGCACTTCTTGTGCTTTATTACAGCAGCGAGTGCTCTCCAGCTGGGCATTCACGCCGGCATCTAGTCTGCACTCACATGGATTTTTTTGTCTTGTTTTTGTTCGCAGGTTTTGCAAGTAAATGATAATTTTTCAGCTTGTCAGCTCAGTGGTTGCGGGCGACACTTCCAGACCCTGCGGGGCTGGAAGATTCATGCCACGAAGGCGCATTGGCAGAATGGTTAGAACTTTTGCAATTTAAAATGCTTCATTTTATTATGCGCGTTCACATGGCCTGATAATGTCTGTTGTCTGTGTGTTTGAATGTTTCAGTTTCAGACCACTGTAGATGGAGGGCAGTATTTATCAGTACACGGTGTTTGTAAGTGAGCAGTGTCACGAAGTAGCCTTTTTCGGACTAAATTTCGACCAGCACAACTCAGGAAGTATTGGGTTATAGTTAAGTAGTTTGGATTTCTGAGCCACAAAAGATTTCTGTTGCACTCTGGCTAATTTCTGAACCCGAACAGTGTTGGTCGTGTAATTTCATGATGAAACGAGTTAAATCCCAGCGTCCCATATTTATTTGATTCGATCTATGAGAACTTATTCCTCAGTTCATCGTTTTGCTGACAGGTAGCGAGCTCTACAGCAAAGCAAGTTGCATACAGACAGACTGAGCTATTCTGCTTGCACCGATTTGACTTTTGCTAATCGTTGATATTTTTCAGGATTCTGCCACAGGTGCGGGCGATTCGTGAGAATGCCCGCTGGCGCGACAGATGAGGTGAAGAAAGTGAGGATGGACAACCACGCGGAGGAGTGGTGTCCCCTCGCCTCCCGCAAAACCGTAGAAGAAAGGCGAGCGAAGCGAAGGCGCCTGGATATACTCGGAGGCGAAGAACTCCACTACATTCCATGTATGCTTTTTAATTTCTCTTTATGATTTGAACATCTACATCACTTTTGGCATTTTTCATTTACATATTTCGACTAATTCTGTGCAAATTAATCCCTTTTCTTTTCTTGCAGAATGGTTCGATAAGTCAGCGAAGCAGTGAAGAATGTGTGGGGTCGAGAATCGGTGGAGGATTTGGAGTTCTAGGGAGAGGAAGAATGCGTTGGAAGGCGAAAAAGAAAATGTGTTGAGGGATCGAAAGTGAATGACACTGAAAATGAAGACTGTGAAGGATTTGACTGAGGCCGAACAACTGGTGAAAAATATTGGGATTTACGAAGGGACTGGAAGCTGGTGGAAAAAAATTACCAATTTATTATAAATCGGCTAAGGGCGTAATAAGAAAGGAGGATGAGAGGTGAAACGAAATTTGACGATGAAAACTGAGGAACTTGGCGAGGGAGATCGGTGAAGAAGAGGTGATGACGACGAAGTGAAGGCTCGCAGAAGCACGATACGGAGAATACCTATGAAGGAACTGAAAAAGAAAGCATCAAAACAAATGAAGAGATCAAGTGAAGAGGCCACCAACAAGGAAGCTGATGAAAGAAGTGTGGGAGTAAAGTCTTTAAGAAGTGCTAAAGTAGAATAA